TGATTGAAAGTAGGAATTGTAGTAACACTTGCATATATGTCAGCTTCAATTTGAAATGTTTAATACCTTATTTAAAATAAGTTTCATCATTTTATCATATGAAATTACGTTCTTATAGCCCATTGGAAGTAAGTATTTTATATCACTTTATACTACTTATTATATTTGACTCAAAATATGACTTGAGCACACACTATTTATCATGTATATTTTTATGTTTATATCTGAAATTTTCTTAATAAATACTTCCTCCGTTCCTTTTTAATTGCAACAGTCAACATTTCACGTTTGCCAATGCACAAGTTTGACCATCAATATCTTTCATTCCGTATTAGTAAAAAATTTAAAAAATTCGTATTTTGAAAATTTAGAATGAGAAGAATTTAACAATATTTTTTAAAAATTTAATTTATAATACATCAATTAATAAAATGTAGTCAAAATAGAATATGTGAATAGTGTAAAAAGTCCAACGTTGCAACTAAAAGAGAACGGAGGTAGTATGTTTTAACTTTTATATTATATGATGCTAAAGTTACATGTCAAATTCATGTTTAATCTAATGTTTTGATTTTGAATCCTATTCATTGACTTGTGGTCACGTTTGATTTACATTTTGGGATATTACCATTGCTAAACTTGCCTATTTGTCACTTGAGCATTTCAATAATTCAAATGAAATAAATCATACTTTATTATTGCTTTGTTAAATCAAATTATTAGATATGTTTGTCTTCAAAACCCGTTAATGTCCAACCGATTCGAGTTGGATGAGGTTGGCTAACTAAAGCTTCTGTTTCAGATTAGGTGTGTCACAATTTGGCATCAAAGCGCTAGGTTTTTTTTAGGAGGAAATTATTTTGGAATATGAATTTTGGAAAAATGTTTTTTATTGTGAATTGTATTACCTGAAGAAGTTTCTATCATTATCTCGCTATATTTGGTAAGTTCTCACTTGCAGAGTAAGATATATGTCTTATGTTCGGATTGCGTGGGTGTTACAGGTTGTTTCTTAACATCCTTGTCCAGTTGTTTGTTTATTAAGTTTCATTTGGATAATTTTCTTTGAATTGCAGAAACAGAATTAACAAGGTCTGTAAATGTGCCTACCCTCCCAAGAAAGGAGTTAGAAACTACAAACCGGGAGGTGAATAATAGAACAGTTGAATCTAGTTATAGACATACGTGGTCGAAAAGTCATGTTTCAGACAAACGCCCTCAGTTGGATAAGTTAGCAGATTTACAGTCTAAATATGAGTCTCATCAGAGGGAGAAGGCGGCTATGAACTCAGATTTGAGCATGAGTAAAATGATTCCAAAAGAGCCAGTTTTTGATGAGCTGGATAGCATTGTGAAAATCAAGCAGGCAGAGACCCAAATGTTTCAATCGCGGGCTGATGATGCGAGAAGAGAATCCGAAGCATTGAAACGAATAGCCATTACAAAGAGAGAAAGGGTTGAAGAAGAATTCAGCTGCCGGATCACAAAGCTGCGTTTGGCTGAGGCGGAGGAAATGCGGAAACAAAAGTGGGATGAGCTCCAAACACTAGAAAGATCATATCACGACTATTTCAACATGAAGATGAGGATGGAATCAGACATCAAAGATCTGTTATTGAAAATGGAAGCTACTAGAAGGAATCTATCAATGTGACTATTGTTTGTTACTTGTTAGTAGTTTGTACTTTAGCTTTCTTTTATTTATTCATTATGCTGACCAGAATTTGTACAGACGGAGGTTGTGACAAATGATACACTGTTATGTAATTCCAATCCTATTCTATAGCTGAAAATGTTCATTGAGACCCGTGTTTTTCTCTATGTGGGATTCCAATTTCCAAATTATAATAGGAGTTTGCAAACAGGCTTTGGTTTGATCAGATGTTTATCAGGAGAATTAGGCTGGGAAAAAAATCTCATGTAACAAGAAAGGAAGGTTGCAAAATCAAGGAAAAGATCGCATTTTGAAACGTATAGGACCAATTGCGAATTTGCGATACCATGGCCTTCAATTTTTTATTCTTATAACTGAATTACTCCCTATGTTCCATACTGGTGTTATAAATTACAATTCTGCAATCAATTCATTCCTCCTTTATTTGATTTTTGGTAGTAATTAAACTCTTGTCATACATTTAAATTATGTTTCACGTGCGAAAATCGTCCGGTTTGAATTTGTCACTTTTCTCTTTAGTTGTGGTTTGTTGCTAAGAGAAGAAAGGATTCTAGTTGATCTTTTTGGCTATCAAGATGAAACATCTTAAATGGATCTTTTATAAATCCACGTATATAGCTACCTCCCTATGATATCTGTCATAGGAAGTAGGAACTATGCATCTACTAATATTCAGTCTTCACTAGTATTTACAGAGAAAAAGTGATTTGACCTTAATAGCGCCTAAAATTTAGGGTTGCCGCCATCGACGATGTTTAAAGGGGCTGATGTTGGGAGGCTATTTTCGATGTTTGGTCGCATAGGGTTGGCATATCATTGATTGACTTCGACCAGGGAGCGGCTATTGTGGTCGACGGGAGGCTTTTCCTTGACAGAATCACAGGGTTGCGAGTTTATTATGGTAGGGTACTATCTCGATTGGTAATTAGAGCTGTGGATTCAGACGCAGGGTTACGAGTTGTGCAGTAAGGATACACGAGGATCGATATGGCAACACAACAAGAGGTGGTCAAATTCACATGAATCTTGAATTGAGACATGGTTCATGAGAGGAGGTCAATAGTATTCTTCTTGATGGAGGGGAAGACAAAGGCCTTTTGGTGGATGCTTCAAACAACAAATTGGAAGCACATGAAATGGTGTTGATTCGTCCCCCTCATGAACCGCTGTCATGGAGTGAACGAACGAGCATCTAGGATTTGGAAGAAGACACTTCAACCAGGTGTTACTAAGAGCAGGCTCGGTTCATGGAAAATAGGAACTGGTCCAGCCGGGCCGGGCCCGGTTCGGGCCTTTTTTTTCAATTTCTTTTTTCCCCGGGGTTGGGCTGGGTGTTTTGGGGGCGGGAGGTGGAGGGTGAGGGGGGTTTTGAACCGGACCCGGCGGAATCTTGGGCCGGTTCCGGTCCTTCCACCGCCAAAAAAAGGCCCGGTTGGGACCAGCCCGGAACTGGTCCATGCCTATGCATTGGTGACCATCATCGTGAGTGTAGCCGCATAGGCATGACAAGTGGGGTTGAGTTTATGATAAGGTGAGGTGTTCACGCAACAATTTGAGGTCTTGACGTACAGCACAAAGTTGATCAATTACTTCCGAACTATGAATATTAGGGGGGCGTTTGGCAGCACTGTTTTTCGGTTTATCAGTCTTATCAGCCAACTTTTTCACCAAACACGTAACTTTTGCTTTCGTGTGCTGAATTGTGTAATAAGCTGAAAAAGTAAGATTGGAGTTACTTTTCCGGCTGTATTGCTGAAGTTACTGTAGATGACCATTTTAGCTATTTTACATATAATTTTTTCTTTGTTTTATTGATAAAATATATTTTAAAAATAATTTTTTCTTAAATCGGCAGAATCAGCCAATGCAGTCACTTCAACCAGAAGGCCCAGAACTTTATAAATTTCAGCAGAATCAGCCAAATCAGCGGATTTTGGTACTACCAAACGGGCTCTAGATCATTTGCTCAACTTTTCATTTTTTGGCAATTACTATCATGCCAAAAGACATACGTAGGCACGTAGCATTACATGTTTTTATTCTTCTCCAAATTTTTATCCATTTTTAGAATGATAGAACGAAGAGGGTAAAATAGTGTCGAACATCCTCTATGATATTTTTATGTAGACGCGCCATTTCCATAGTTAAACAGTTAAAGTACATTGCAGTAACAAAGAGCACCATGAGAAGAAGCCTTCATCATGTATGCACAAGTTGCAGATTAGAAGTTCAAAATGACTCTAAACGAGACATGATAACATACTCATGTCATGACCTTGATTCACACCCAACTGATTCAGCAGCTTCACCGTCAAATCTATTGTCCACTTCGGGCAACTTCTGATCAGATTCATCTCCAACTTCGGGCAACTTCGGGCAAATCTATTCACCGTCAAATTGGCTTCTTAAATTGCACAATTATCATTGCCATGTTATAACATCCCTCTCCTCTAGTACTAGACGGTGCCAAACACTGACTGAAAACTCATTCACACATTGTCGAAAGCTTGCTTTGGTGTACAGTCAATCAAGTTACACTGTTTAGAACACATTAATTTGTAGGTAGTGAGGGGAAAAGTCAATAGGAAAGTAGTTTCTGTGTTTGGTTTACCATAGAAAATATACAAGCCAAACTTATTCATGGGACGGAAGGAGTAGAAATATATAAATAAAATGAGTATGAACTTATAGGTTCATTCAGTGTGAGAAAATGCCCTTATATCCTCTATTTCTTGCAAAATTCCAGACTACTTCATTTCCCTAGCTTTTCCCGAGCTCCAGACTGAACTTTAAGTGGCTGAATAAGGATAAAGGCTCCTATTTTGATCCCAATTCCCAAAATCTACACCAATACAGCCATTAAACAGCAAATCCACTATATCTTGGGCTGGGGGTGACCGATTACTCGATTATTCAGGTCTTATTTAACAAACTTTTGGTTAATCGAGAAATCGGTTATTAATAAAATCCACTATGATGCAAACTTGAACGTGTCTCCAGTTTTACTAAAATTTTCCTCACTCTTATATGATATTTTGCTTACTCTTAATATTGACTTTCTTTGCTGGTTTACAATCCCTCTTCTCAAAGTTCCTCCTTCCAGCCTCAATTCAATTCATTTTGTGATGACATTCAGTGTATTAAGTCATCACCTTGCTTTCCATATAATATTTATATAATTACACAATTACAATAACATCCAACTATCCAAGCCTTTATCCCAAAAGAGTTTGGGATCGACTAACATGAATTGATATAATCACACACTTGCACTACCAAAATTCAAACATTCAGATAAATGGAAAATAGATCTGCATCATGGCAATGATATGAAGCTTGATTTTTTGTTATCTACGTTAAAAGGTAAAATAAGTAATGGTACACTGAATGTTCACTACACTTGGAACAAGACTATATTTTTAAATATAGAGAAAAGGGTCAAATAAGGCCTTCTACTATTATGAAATCGTCACATAAGGCCATGCACTCAATAAAGTGTCATATAAGTGCGTCTACTAGTAAAAAACAATCAAATAAGTCCTAAGGAGCTATTTACAACCCCCCAATCCCGATTTTAGTGTTCTTGAAACCATCTATTTATAATAGATTATACAGCACATGTCGAATATTTACCTAAGATTAGTTGAAATACAAGTAAAAAAAAATTGACACGTAGGCTAAAAATAGGATTAAGAGGTTGTCAACGGGTCATTAGGACTCATTCGATTGTTTTTATAAGTAGACATATTTATATGACACTTTATTGAGTACATGGCCTTGTGTGACGATTTCATAATAGAAGGCCTTATTTGACCCCTTTCTCTAAAATATATGACATAGATATCACTTAATATCCTCTCTTTGTTCTCTCTCTACAAATTGAGTACATCTTTGATCTCATATAAATGCTTTTTCTTTTTTCCTAGACAAAATATACTTCTATGAACTTAACTTGATGTATGTAATGAAACTTTTTATCACAGCCGAAACCTGGTTTTGGGGGGAGAGGGGGTTATACAATCAATGTTTCCACAGGTGGTTTATAAATGCAATGCAAGACATACACACTTACCATACATGTACATTAATGGACCGGAGCGGGTACACTACTGCTTCCTCCTAATCCCATCTTCTTACCCAGCAAAGCAAGCTGCTCCACGAACTCACCTCCTGTAAGAATCTCTGTGGTGCCGTATATGATATGCTTGACTGGCTGCTGTTGCTGCTGTCGTTGCCGGCGTGCAAGACCCTGCAAGCTGCCATACTCCACGTAGTTCCCACCTCCAATCATAAACACTATGGCTTCCTTGAACGGCCCCCCTCCTTTCAGATGTCCCTCAACCCCAGTGCCACCTGAAGGTGCACGGGGATCAAATATAAGGTAAGGATCAGTTTCAGAGTTTGGCTTCCCCCCCTCCATCAGGGCTTCCACAATTCGGGACAAAGCTAGCTGGTGATCACCAGCTAAGAGGTTTTTCACACCAGCGGTCACAGCACTGATTGACTGCCCGTACAGCTTTTCTGCCCAGTCAACAATGTTGTTTCTGCTGGCTGCTGAATTTGCAGAAGCTAAAGAAACATTTAATGATTTTATTTTTTTCACGTACTGGAACGCGCTGGTATCGACCTCGCACTCTCTCAGTGTGGCTTCAATCATTTCAATCTCTGAATGAGGGATGTTCTCACTTGAGATGATGTAGATGATGGCAAACCGGAGCTTATCCAGTTTTGTCCCTTTCCCTTTTAGCACCCCAAGGATCTCATTGCGGTCAACTCCCCCACCTCTGACCATCATATCATCCTCTTTTTTTGTGTATGTGTCTAGGGACCTCTCCTTGATTTCCTTCAAAAGCATGGTCGCAATATTAGTGTGCTTGTCTATCACTTGCTTTCTTTCGGTCAGCTCAGGCAGTGAATTAACAGCATTCATCAAATGCTTCGTGTTTCCAATCAAATCCGTCCCATCAAACTCAGCCTCATTCCCTCCCGTTCGCCTGTTCACCACCTCAACGTCCTTTTTATACTTGCTCAACTGGTTCTCAATCTCCAAAGCCACATCTGGGAATATTAGGGACCCATTTTCCATCCAGAAAGGATCAGATCTGTCAAGCTCAAAGGACTTCATCCCCCCACCCTTCTCCCCTTGCACAGTCACCCTATTCAATCTCAGCCCAAGAACATCATGAACGAGGGGTCTGTACCTAAAGTCATGCTGAATAGCAACAGACAACTCAAAATTCCTATCAAACAAACACAAAACAGGTCTCTGGAAAGAGCTGGAAAAATTCCCGCCTTCTGAAAAAAGGTTGTTTTTCACCAATAAGTGGTCCCGCAGTCTCTGATCCAACAAGGAGGCCACCATCTCAGCAGGCCCACCACGGGGGCACCTGATGATTGGTACCACAGCAAGTGTAGCTAAAACGCAGAACAGCCCACTCACAATCTTTTCAATGATCTCCTCTATTTCTTTATCACTGGCTGAGGGGTCATTCAACTGAACGTAGCAATTCTTGTTGGCGAGTGAAAACAAATTGTCTTCAAGGGTCACAAACTCCAAGTACTGATCATGCACCTTTGTTATCCTCTGAATCGAATCTGAACTAATAGTTCCTGAAGATTATAAGATCAATACACAATCCACAATGAGGATTGAAAAAAGAACATTACATATGATCCATACACAGATAAGAGGGGCACAAGGTAGGCCTGTGCGGTAGTTGTTCCTTGATGTTTTTTATCATTCTGTGTTTGCACAAGTATTTATATTTACTTCATATATAACTTAAATCCAAAAGGATTACTTTTGTGAGAATGGCTAGTCAGTTAGTTCAAGACTCCTAATTCAACCCATATATGGAGTATTACTATTTAACCTACTGGATTGATTGGTTGCTTAGAAAATACGAATATACACTACTAGAGTGTGGGTGAGTTGTTTCTCAAACCTTGTGATAATGTGATATAGCACTAGTTTGCTATTTCAGAAACAATTTTATACGGAGTACAGGTATTTGATTTTGAGAAGGGTAGAAATAATTTGTTGTTTTGTTCCCCTTGTGACCAAATATACAGCAGATATTTCACATTTAAAGAGCACTCGGCAAAACGAATTCCCCAATTCAAAAACCTATGTAATAGCTTGAGAAACAGGAAAGGCATCGGGAAGGTCTGCATGGATTGTGTCATTATGTGTGTGTGTACCTGAGGCGAGATCCTCCAGTAGGGGCCTAGGAATGGAGGAAGAGAAATTGAGATGGAAGGAGTCATAGAGAGACTTGGAGGCGTCGGCGACGATGCGTTGGACATTGGAGTGAGTAGGCTGGACAAAGTAGACAGCAGGAACGTCATGGACGGGTTTGCGATCCTTGTCGATGAGGAAGTAGAGGGTGACGCCATGCTTGCGGAGGTCCTTCACGTGGATGAGCGGCGACAATATGTCCTGACAAAAGCGGTCGAAGATGAGGATCTTATACACCTCCTCGTTCGCCGTCCCGCTAGCACTAACTGGCTGATTTAGATTCAACACCCTCGTTATGCACTCTACCATCCCATAAGAAACACAATGCTCAGTCAGATTCAGCACCGAATTTAGACATCGACATTGAAAGAGATCTAGAAGGGGGCGGATAAAATTAAAGTGAATTACCAGTTTGCTTCTGACGAAGATTGAGTGCCATTGCAGAAGAGCAGCTAGTCCTAGGAGAGATACAGACAGAAGATGGTTTGCCTTGCCTAGAGCCGCGATCCACACAGAAATGAAATCTATCTGAAGAATAATTCGTTGATCTCAGGGATTAGTTCTAACCATGAGTTCATGTTAGATATTAAATTTTATAAAACAAATAAAATTTTAATAGTGAATTAATCTTAACAGTTAGATTAATATTGAAAGTGATGAGTGAGTGAGTGAGTTTGGAAGTCTATTTTTCTTACAAATTTTTAATCTAACGATTAATATCAATAATTAATACTAATTAGTACAAGAAATTGGATCATCAAACATATTAAATGGCCAAAACAGAAAAGAAGCCTAAGATCATGCATCTTAGGTCTACCTTATTTGATTGTGTGTGTATGTTGAGGTTTATTTTTTTGGATTGAAAGGTCCAACATTTTCTTTTGAATTTTTGTTTGATAGTGAATCGATTATGTTACAGTGAGCTATCGAAGTAATAATGAGACAATACAATAGCAAGAAACAATATGAAGGTACAATGGGTCAAATTCTATTAGAGACTTGAAATGATTACAGCACACTTTTATAGAGTTTGAGACTAAATCCACTATTTTAAGTGGGAGAATATAGAAGAGGTTGAGAGAGAAGCTAATGGTAATGAATACATGTTTCGAACTACTTACAATGAAATAAATGTCATTATTTATACTACCAAGGTGGTAGATGATGGTGGTGGTGCAGCAAGCTCCGGGTGACTGGCCCTCAACAATAAAATCTTCTATATTTGATGCATTAAATGTGTTTCCTCGTTAAATCTTTGGTTTCCTGTCAATTCTTCTAGACCAGTCGTCCAAGAACTCATTCATAGTGGTCTAGGCAATTTCCGCTCAAGGATCATGTGTCGTGCGACCTAGTTGTGCGACTTGTGTTGCATGGGCACGGAAGCTTCACAAGCGGACAAGCCTTCTATATTCATTTACCCGCAAGGGGATTGGACCTATCTCGTATGATTAATAATAGATTAAACATATAAAAGAATATATTAAAAATTGTAGAGGCCTTTCCTGCGACCTCTGCCATCTCCCAGCAACGCCACCTTTGAGCGGTGAAATAATGTCATTTCGTGTAAAAAAAATGCAATTTTTTCTTTGAATTCCATGTAAAAGACTATTTTCTTTTTCAAAATGTCAAAATTTTCTCTAATGATTGGCACATGTTTAGGCATTTTTCTGATGATTGTAGCTGGCGGTGCTAGGAGGTGGTAGGAGTTGCCGGAAAGACCTTCATATTCTTTATATTATTTACATGTTGATAATGTAATAAATTTTTATTTTCCTAATTTTATATTTTTATTAATTGCATTAAATATTTATTTTCGTGTTTTTTGTTTTTTATATTTTTTTTATTATAAATAAATTTGGGAATTTCACTGTTTTTGTTGTTGAGGAAATTGGGAATTTCACTGTTTAAAATTGTTTCTGCTTTTACCTATGCTGCGTGTTTGTGTTATCGTCTCTTTTCCTAACCAGTAGCGTAATCGGTCGAGAGAGATGGAGGTGCCAGGATCGTCGAAGAAGATGATAGCTACGCAGGAAGAGATGGTGGAGGCGAGGGTTCCTCTGGCATACCGGGACCAGTGCGCTCACCTTCTGATTCCCCTTAACAAGTGCCGCCAGGCCGAGCTTTACTTGCCATGGAAGTGCGAGAACGAGCGCCACTCCTACGAAAAGTGCGAATACGAGCTCGTAATGGAGCGGATGCTTCAGATGCAGAAGATCCGGCAGCAGGAGGAGTCCTCCCGCCTCAAACAAGGTGTCAACCATCAGCCCATTCCCCTTGCCGCCAGCACTGCCAATGCCTCCTAGTCTCTGCTTTTTCCATCTGTAGGGAGGTCTGCCCTCTGTTCAATTCTCTCTATCTATCTCTCGTCTAGTTCTCTATAATGTTTTTAGTAGCCTTTTCACGCAGTTTATTGGCTTCCCTGATTTTGCTCTTTTTAGCGATTTAGTTAAACTGCTTGATATACCACATCTGAGATGAATAACTCGAAATATGTTTGAATCTTGTGTAGCCATTTGTCACTTATCCTGAAATTCCACTTTAGCATTCACTTAAACAGTGAAATAGCTCAGTTTGGATGGTTAGGGATTTTTTAAAATCTTAGATTTTGGCTTTATAATACAATCATTTTTTGTTCAAATGCCTTCTTGTTCCAACAGTTATGTGTTTTTATACCATAATTGATAAAACTCAGCCTAGACATTTGGTTTCAATCTTTAATACGCAGTAGTATTAATCTGAATGAATTGGGGGTAATTATGTTATTCACCAGACTGTTTTGTATAATAAAATGATCATTTGCTGATGTTCATCACTGCATAAAGATGTTTCCTTTAGTGGATAGTTTTCTGGTGTGTCTAAGGCCTAAGGGTTGATATATTTATAAGTTTATATAGCTGCAAAAGTAAATGAATCTCAAGGAGAAGGAAGCTCTCATCTTCATGTTTTTGGAGATAGAGGTTTCTGTTTTGTTTTGTTTGGTTGTTGGGTTCAGAAACATCTACTTTCATCAGCAACAACTTATGTGGTTAGTGGTTGCACATCTTAGTGATTGGTGAGCTGACCTTTGGTTTGCTGTAGTCGGACTATCATCCAGTTCAATTTCTACATAACCCAAATAATCTTGTCAATGCCTAGTTGGTTGGTTACCCGCTTTCCTTTAGTTAATTTGGGCTCTATGATAAATTTGCACACATGTTCTCGTGATGAATGCTCCCGTCTTTTTTCAAAATTGCAAAAGGGGGTTTTGGTTCGAACCTAGAAGAGAGTCGAGGCTATAGAAATTCAACTCTCTCTCCTTATTTGTTTAAAATTTCTGAAATTCGTGGATTAGTTTTTCTCTGCACTTTTCTTCCCTCCCCCCCCCCCCAAAACCAGACCACTGTTAACAGATCCCCCTCCTCCATAAGACCATAACCAAACTCTACCCAAATAATACAATATATCATCGGCGACAATTTCTTGAAAACTTGTAGTTTTGGTATCCTCAGAGGGCGTGAATAAGGGAAACAAATATAGTGAAGTTTAGGATCTTAAGAGTTCAGAATAGTGTTATTTTGAAGTCAGTTGAGCATCCAATGTGGATCAGCTCATATAATGCATAAGTTGTTTTACTCTTGTAGCATATATTTGTTTTTGTAAGGATTATATGCACATGCATGTGGGGGGGGGGGGGTTATGTTTTGGATGGGGGTGCCAAGTAAGGGTGTTAACAAACCAAGGTTTTTGAACTATTTGATTTTGAGCTTGATTTGAACTTAAGAACTGAGCCTATTGAGTTTCGAGTTTGAATCCAAGCTTGATTTTATGTTAGAAGATTTATTCGAGCCAGGCTCGAGCATAGTATTATGTTCGATAATTTTTCAAGCCTATCAGCCTATCAGGCACCTATATAGTGTATGTGTGAACAAATTACTCCCTCCGTTCTCTAATAACAATCTCGTATTCCTTTTTAAAAAGTTTTTAATTGTTTGTCCCTCTTTCATTTCTAATAAGTTTTTTCAATCAAATTACCTTTATAGTTTATACCCCACTTTTATTACCATTACCCCTTTTTACTTTTTACATACTAATTTCTCTTTCCTACTTTATTACTTCGTATTACTTCACTCTTCTTAATATATTTTCTTTCATACTTTTTCATTTACCCTTCACCTTCTATACTACCCCTACTATGTTCTTAAAAACCACAAAAAACCTAAGGAGACTATTAATTAAGAACAGAGGGAGTATATGTTGAACTCTATTAAAGTTCTTTGGTGTAGTTTTCTAACATTAAAATTTATTATTGATGAATCAAGCACCTGAGAATAATTCGAGTGTGACCATTTAATGAGCAAAAGCTAAACTCCTATATTAGAGCATATTCTGGATCATTCAAATTAAACATCAAACATCTATTGTGCCGAACTCGGGCCTCATGTATAAAAGTTAGTCTAACTTCAAACTCAAATCCAAACACCACTAATACTGAATCAAGCTGAACTTGAGTTCAAGATGTCCGGGCTCCGCTCGGTTCGTTAACACCCCTTAGTGCTGAGTCCCTATTCACCTATGGGGTAGCAGTACCACTAGATTGGTACTAGATTTCATTTCTTGCTACTGCTGTACTGCATAATAAAGCTGTTAAGAATATAACAGTTCCTGAAAGTATATCACGACTACACATTTGTGTTCTGTATCAGTAAACATTGTTTTTTCCTCCTTTAATTTATGGGTAGGCAAGCAATGAAATGAAAAGTAATTTTTATTTATTTCTGTTACGACTAAAGCTTATGCCAAACTTATCAATGTGCCTCAATTCTGTGGCAGTGAGCTGATACTGGTAAAGGTTGTGGTTGTTCCAGAGTGGAGCATTTGTTCATCTGCCATAAGAAGAAAAAAGAAGGAACTATTTGTGTGTTTACTGAGAACATGATGTATTCTTGATTTCTTGTTCATGTTTGTTCCAAATAAGATTTCACCCTTGACATGGATTGTTATTAATTGTTGTCCTAATCCTTTTATTGGTAACTTTTGGTTCTTAAAAAATCAAGTCATTTTGTAACATTGATAGTAATAACTAGCTTCATATTATTACAAACACAATTTAGAATAATATTGAATCTCATGCGCTTGTTTGGTAGACATAAGTTCATATCTTTTAGCTTTCGTACTATTCCAAAAATTTCTAAAATCTTGTAGTTCTATGTAGATTTTGGTTTTAGTTAGTTACAACAGTTTGTTATACGTAACACAACTAAATCAAACACTTACCTTTTGGTTGGGGGATTTTGGAGGGGAGGGGTCTTATTTATATTTAAAATAATTTTTACATTTAGACAAATTGAAATCAAATGAGGACACAATAATATATAAAAATACATGGTTTAACTAATTATATATTTATTTGTAGCAAAAAACTAACAAATTCAGATAAATTAATAAAGTAAAAAATTAATCATCCTCTTCCCTTCCCTCCAAAATCCCCCAACCATACAGGGCCACAGGGGTAAAAGATAACAAAATATCTCACAAAAGTATTGTTCGACTGATTCTACAATTCTACCAAACATACCCTACATAACATTTACCAAGTATTCTATTAGAAGTTCACTTTGCCAAATGATTCGTGAAGAGTCTAATGCATGGGCCTGGTCAAAGTCCGGTCCCAGTTCCGCTCCCGGGTATAATGGGTCCTGGTTTGGTTCCGGGTACCCGGCCGGTCTCGGTTTTGAGCGGGTCGCATCTTTTTTTTAAAGTTATTTAAAAATATTATATTTATACAAACAAAAGACTATACACATTAAAAATGAAATGTAGTTTATTTGAAACATAAAATTGACTTGTACAATTATAAAAAAAACTACTCAATTAAAAGGGTTTCATAAATCTCAATTGTAAAAGGGAAAAATGAAAACTAATAATCCAATCTTTTAACGGTCTTCTTTGCAAATCATTCAACCATAGATCTCACATTTCACAAATTTTCACCAAGCGGTCTCATGTATCAATTACGTAGAATTTTATTTTTCTCCCTAAAACTTTTCCCTTTTTATTTTTATCGCATTGACTCTTTTATTCCACTTTTTCATCTTCTTATTCTTATTTTTGTTTCTTTTCAATATTTTTTCAATGTTTATGTATTCCATTTTCCCTTCTTTTTCTTTTTCCCGTTTATTATTTCATTTTCATTTTTATATATTTATTTGGATTAGTTTTCTTCTTATAAAATATCTTTTTCTCACCATATTAACTTTTTTATTATACTTTCTTTACTTACACTTATTTTTTCATTTTTACTTTTCTTACCTTTATTCCACCACTAATATTTTATTGATAAAATAGCCCCAAAATAGGACTAAATTAATCCCTAAATGCACAAATAGGACTATTTTATTTATCTTCCCAAAAAGGACTAAAGTTCATTCTATCTTCTTATTCTACAATTCTACCCTTACCATAACTCAATAGGATAATCATATTTTACATTATAATAAAAAAGAAAAATAATTAAAAGTATTTCAATTTATAAAAATATAATAAAAAGTTAAAAGTATTTTTTTAAAATAATAAAATAATAAATAGTAATAAAAATAGTTTAAATAAATTTTTTAAAGTATATAAAATAGATAAAACACCTTAAAAATATAAAAAAAGTTGGACACCTTTCCCTCGTCCTTGCCACCTCCCAATAATGCCAACTCAGATCGGCGAAAAAATGTCATTTTGTGTAAACCCTGCAATTTTTTCTCTGAAAATCCCATGAATATGACATTTTTACTAATTGAAAATGTCAATTTTTTTTAGAAAATTGTCATCGTGATGGCATTACTAACACATGTTGACATTTTTTCCGGTTGTCGACTCTGATGGTGTTGGGAGGTTGTTGAAGTGGCGGCAAATGCCTGCATTTTTTATTACTTTTTTTTTAATTTAAGTTTTTGAGTTTCTAATTTTATAAATTTCATTTTTATAATTAGTTTTATTAATTTTATTTAATATTTATTTTCGTTTTTTCATTTTTCTACATTTTTATTATAAATAAGGTTATGTTATTACTTTTATGTTTTAATTATTAATGAAATAAAAATTGCACTAAACAAAGCAATGATAGAATTGGATAGCTAGTCCTATTTAAGGAATTTTGAAATTATACTCATATTCTTGCAATTAAAGTTTCATTACATACAATTTGAGAAATGTCCCCTATATTTTTTTCCTTTCTAAAAAATTCAAAGAAAAAATATTAACAAGTTGTCCGGAAAAAATTATAAAAAGAGACTACAACGAATATGAATACATAAAAAGGAAAGAAAATTTTTAGGAAGAAAAAATAAAAATTATATGTTGGACTGTTTCAAAAAGATTTGTAGAAGGTGTTGGTTTATGGTTAAATGATTTGTAAAGAAAATGAAAAAACCTGGAATAGTAGGTCATCAACCGGTCAAGGACCAACGAATGAAGATGAGGTGCAAAGATTGTATTATTCCTGAATTATGATAAGGTATGACTATTGTAAGAAGACTCTTAAAATGTTGGATTTTTAGTTTTCATTTTCCTATTATAAAAAAGCTACCCTATTGAAGTGTACATAACACATATAAGAATGTCTGTAAATAAGTAGTTGTTAAAAAAAATTGAACAATGATAGAGAAATGTTACATAAATCCCCTAGTTTTCGGAGCTCCCGCTTGCTTGATCGGTTGTTGATACCTCTATGAAGTGGCTGGTCGGTGCTATGTTTAGTTCTTGAGTTCGCCGGCGGGCCTTCAACCAATCGTGGAATTCCATGAGAGTCTCAAGATATTGCGCATTCAATCTGGTTCTATAATCGGTCATAATGTTGCTAGATTCACTAAAATCTTGTTCCACGACAATCATTCATGGAAGCAAGCGTAGTCGTAGCATATTGTCACTGGCACCTCTCTCACTTGCCGCCAGTGAAGCAATCAGTAATAACAACTTTTCCAAGATATCTCATGAACAAAACGAAGAATGCACTAAACATTCTGACAAGATGGTGCCACAAGCATTAGACCCTCATTTAACTATGGTTGTGCAACATAGTTAAATGAGACTTCTAATTGATTTGCTCACTATGAAAGATAAGTTGTTATGTATGCTAATTTTTTATTGGGAGAAAGAACAAATATCCCTTCAATTTTATGTGTGAAAGTAAATATACACTCCAATATTATTTTGAAACGATTAACCACATTATTTTAAATTTTGTGTAAATATATCATTGAGTTATATATTAGAGAACATATATACGCCTTGACTATATATCTCAGAATAAATATACATCAAAACCATTTAGATAAATTGGTGTATTTGTTTTCACCATTTTTGTGTTTAATTGTTCCAAATGAAAATTGAGGGAGGGGTATATTTGTTTCCAAACATATAATTCAAAAGCATATATACGCTTTCTCACATTTTTAATTAGATGTAATGTGTATTATATGGTGCCAGATGTGATTAATTTGCAACTGAATTTAAAGTTATATGAGAGAAATGGATCAAATTAAAGATACATGACTCAGTTAAAGCGTGCCAACAAGTTAGGTAATTGCCCAAGGTACATTATAAAAACGAGGTAAGGATCAATTGAGTACATCAACTTGTATGAGGTGGAGTAAAAGAGTACAATATATTGCATTTGATCTTCTTAAGTACACAAATTCGGATTTTTAGTGTTAATTGAGTACACACGCAAGATTAACATGTTAATACGACTCAGTTGGCTTACATAATGCTAATAGGTCAACTTCTTGAAGGTCGATGCCAGCCCCTAACCACTTAATCGACTTCCCCTTGGTCGATGCACCCCTATTGGCCAACACCCCCCGCAGGTCAACCCCCGAATGTCATTTTTCCCTTTTTGGTCAACTTCATGAAGGTTGGCACCATAACCTTGGTCCATTAACCCTTCTTACTCAACATTTCGTTAGCCAACTCAGTTGTATTAACGTGTAAATCTAACAAGTCTACTCAATTAAACTAAAACCCCAAATTTGTGTACATAAAAAGATCAAATGCAATATAGTGTACTCTTTACTCCACCTTATACAAGTTGGTGTACTCAATTGACACTTTCCTCCTAATAAAAACTCTAATTTTGCACAAAAGATTGTCACAACTACAGTGTGTGATAAACTTGTGATGGATACATGGAAGAAAAGTTGTCAGAGATATATATGTGAATAATAAGATGCATTTAATTAGTTCATCCCATAGGGTGGATTTGAAAGAACCTCTTGGCCTTGCGCAACCACAATCGCGGATCACTGCCATCGAACTTTGAAAGTTCTATTTGCACAGTTGGATTATAAACATTGTTGGTTGAGTTTATGGTGTGAAGGATTGTAAACATAATTGTGCCCCCTAGGTCAGTACCAATTCCATTCTCCTTGTCTCCGACGATCTGAGCCTGTTGTGGGATCATCAACGCTTCCAATTGTTGTGTGATCGCCGCAAACCCCCCATCAACTCGGCTCAGGTGTTCATTGACGAATTCCCTTCAAATGCCTTGAAGCTCTTTCCCATGTTTCCTCTGTAGTGAATAAGTCCTTCATAAGGGTTTCCGTCATCATCGTTCGAGTCACATAACAGCCGGGGAAGTATGGGCTCTGATACCAAATGTTTTAACCGAAGACAATTAGCAATTGAACGGGAAACTAATAAATAGCTCAACATAGATCAGGAGTTCATTTTTTTAACCAAATGTACAATGGAAATAATAGGGGGGAAATGAGTCAGCATGTTCCGCAGGTAGTCTGCTCGAGTAGATCGAATGAGCACACCTCAGATTTAATAAGACTGTTATTGATTGGAAGAGAAACAATGGTGTTAATCCGAAGATGCGCAAGAGGGTTTGCCTTTTTACATATCAACTGCCTTTTTTCCGTCATTTCTCCTGTGTATGAAGGATTGAAGGATGTCCGAAAATGCGAAAATGCTGGAATCTGATCACGCTTCTGATATTATTCAATCACACTATTGAGACCTTACATATATAGTAAAAATAACAATCATTAACTCGGGGTAAAATAACACTTTATCAGAACAATCATAAAATGCCCAACGACCAAACAATATAGCAAATATATTCTATTTGATAAT